TTTCAATAATGGGTTGCTCGTAGTTCATATAAAAAAGGTTAGGATGTCCATTGGATACATTGGGACATTGGAACAGAAGTGGAGCCAATTAGAAAAGGCACTCTTCAGGATGCAGGATTCTACCTTATTCAGTAACACCTAAAAGTTCTCTAGTTTTCAATAATGGGTTGCTCGTAGTTCATATAAAAAAGGTTTCGTTTGTGTTATTTCAGATGTTAAATGCTGGACCTTTTGTGTAATATATTTTCTTCTATAACCTTCCTGCCGTCAGTCCCTGCAATTATGCTATGCCATAGCCCATATTAACTGCAACGCAAGACTCATTCAGGCCACTGTTAGAATCAACCGACTGTTGTTAGAGTTAAAGGTAGCAGAAGTAAGATCAAACAAGTATTTATCATCGTTGAATAAACATATGAAGAGGCTATCGACCAGGACAAGAAAACTGGGATTGAGATAAATTAGAGTTCCCACCAATATATGGGCCAAACTGAAACTCGAAGAAATAAAGCTAATCGGAGGTTTTCCTAGTACACCCCGTGCACCAGCATTCGTCCATTATAAAAGGATATAAAATATATTAATTTATACTAATTATAAAATTCATGATTGAATTCGATATCAAAAGTCAAGTGACACTAATTCAATTGAAAAATTGACAAAGCGGTAATTATTCTTGCTAAGTAAAAATAAGCAGCCAGTAATTTGGACATGGAACTAATTTCCAAGGTTTTTCAAGTAAAAGTTCCTTTTAACCAAAAAAATATCATCTTCAAATCATTCCAATCATTAGTCCCGAATTCAAGACGATAATATACTTTTTTAAACAAAATATATATAGTATATGACTTTAAAAAAAAATCTTCAATATGTAATATAAAAAAAAAAAATGCTTCTCTTCGTAATAATATATGGATAATAATTTCTAAAATGATCACAATTAAACCTCCATATTAATTTCAAAATGCTAACTGCCTTTAACATTGACCACTAATTCACTCATAAAAACATTTTCCACACTCTAATAATGAAATTAGACCTTTTTTATACTTTGGAAACCTAGAACATCATAACCCCACTGATATCCAACATTATAGCCCTGCTGGTATTCCAATGGCATCAACAAAAATATTTTTGGTCCAGAAATAATCATTAAATAATCTACAATTTTCAACGTTTTGGTACAACATAAACTACGTTCAAAGGAATTTCAAGCAAATTTATGTACTAAAAAATTGCATTATTCCCCGGATTTACGTCATTCAGTCAGCAAAAGTTTCCGCTAAATGCTCTATGGAATATAAATCGGTTGGGTATGGCTGTCAGTGCGCATGATCACCCACAATCCCGGCATATATTCTACGATTTCTCCTCTTTTCTCTCACATTATTAGTATAATTTAATTATGATCAGTTCAATCTGCTGGACATCGTGCCTTTGTACTTCATTATCATGTTTTTCATGGATGAAAAAAAAAAATTCAAATTTCCCTGGTTCAATCACAATGTTTGCCACATTAGTATTATGTCAACTAAAATACAATATCAAATTTATTGCATTTAATTACTTCTAGATCCATGAACTAAATCATCATGATGATGATCATATGGCAGACAGTGCTTTAAATTCTTCCAAAATAGCTGTAAATAGTAATTAGTTTGTGAAATAAAACTACACTTTTAACTGGCAACAAGGAACGAGTATCTAGGCTTTAGAAGAAGTTAGTTTCATTGTTCATATGATTTGATATCAATTGGATGGATTGAATTAAACTAATGAAGATTTTAAAAAGAAATAAAGTCCCAAGTTTCCTTATTCTTTGTAATATTGCATCATCATATTTATGATTCTTTCTCTTTTCTATTTGTTAAGAATCTTGGTCAATAGGGTTTAATTCATATAATTAAGTATTTCTGATCATATTATAAAAAAAATTAAGAACCATTTTGGCTTCTTCTACCACATAACACCAAAAGGAATGAATATGGTCATCATCAATCATACAGGGAGGACCAATGGTGGGACTTGTTAAGGACAATGCGTGTTCAAAAAGACAGCAAAATGTGAGCCATCTATGCAAGCTTTAGTTAGCCCAACATATATTGTACTGATTATCTGAAGTCTTACTTTTGTTCGGATGGTTTTCGGATATTAGCGATGGATTTAAGAATATTTTTTAAATATTTACTTATAATATATATAATAAAACTGTCACGAATTTATTAATTTTGTCGGGAAAAAAAAAGTTCAAGTGACAATATTGAGAGTTCAGAAATTTTTTTTATTTTTTAATTTTTAAAAGTGTCCATGACAATTTTATTATTCCGTTTTGATTCGCCTTTGTGCATTACATAACAATAACTTTACATGTATTTGACAAATTGCCCTATAATCATGGTTTTATACATCTGTACTAGGATCTCGTTTGGCAGATAACAATGAATCAGTCAAAGATTTTCATGTATGGCCCAAGTAAAGACACGAGCATGTGTCATTATGAACATAATATTTCCAATTCCTAAGATATGCAAAAATCAAGAAACAGTGCAGTACTACTCAAAAGGATTTAAAATATTTAGCCCAAAGCTTTGAATTTACATTTGATTTGGTTTTATCAGCTGCAAGCTCCAGCTTGGCCTGGTGCATGAAATTAGGACGTGTGAGAGTGATGTGAATGCTCCAAGACAAAGCGAAGAGAGATTGGTTTAATAGAAAATTGGACATGTCTTTAAATTTTTGCAAACAAATTCAAATGGTTTTTGGAAGGCTTAAGGATATTAAGACTTGACAAGATACAGCTGTTATCCTAACAGACAGGGAAAGTTAAAGATCACAATCAAGGTTTGGGGCAAAAGACAAAGTTATGTGAAGTACTTTTCGCAAGTACCATTTGTTGTCTTTCAATCCATGTGCATTTTACTTGCCATCTAGTAGTCTCTCATCATATGCGGTAACCCTATTTCAAGGGAAAGAGGATAGGAAATGGCCCCGCGGGCACCAATCCAACTCAAGTTCAGATAATGAAAAAAACCTCACAGACAAAAAGGCGAGGTCGTCAATACACTTTTTTTTTCAAAAGATGATAGAAATCGTTCGGCAGTAACATCAAAATCGAGCTTTTTTATCTTTCTTTTTTTTTCCCCAAACTTATATCCTCACTCTAGTTCTAGGCTCTGCCCTTTTCTTCTTTTGAAAAGAAATTTCATTCCTTACGTTTGGTTATATAGAAAGATTTATCCATAAATAGATCAATAAAAACAAAAAGAGTTCCATCAGTGCATTTATATTTGATGTACTGAATCTCCAAGGTTTGTAGTACAAGCTGAAAAGAATTAAAGGAACATTACGCAATTCAATGAACAACATGACATGAATAAAAAGATTAAAGAAGCATTACACAGCCCAATAGGCAATAAGAATTGGTGAACAAAATATTAAAAAGAATTGCATTTTTCAGGAGGTAACATATTACATTGAATGATCAATTATCCCAAAAATTTAAAGCAATAAAAAAGTCAACTATCATATTTAAGTTTTAATTAACAAGCTTGTTAAAACATTTTTAAAAGTATTAAATTATATGCAACCATGGTACCCCATCTTAATCTGAATTAGCTAATAAAAGCTCAAATTTCATTATCGTGTCACCTTTGCATGTTATATATTCAAAGTGAATTCGTTTGGGTTCAAAAGAGTAATTGCCACATAAAGAAACTTGTATATCACCATGTGATGTAACTCCCCACTTCTTAGATATTGCCTAACTTAAGTTGTTCGGTATTTAGAGCTTGGATAATTGAGATTTTGATTTGGACTATTTCACGCACTTAAAAGATTATTATGCATAATTTTATATTATATTAATTAATTAGTTTTAAAAATATATTTAATGACATATGTGATACTTTTTTAATTATGTCGGTAGAATTTAAAACTTTTTACTGATGCAATATTAGATAAATTTTCCTTTGATTTCTTGTCATTTTTTTTTTTTAACTTTTTTTTTCAAAAGTTACGTTAAACGAGAAAATTTATCTTCTTTCTTCTCATAACTCTCTTCTCTTTGATAAAATAATCGAGGTCTGACTTAAAATTTATTAGAGAAATATGACAAAAAAAAAAAAAAAACTCCACAAGTAAAAGCTATTGACTTGTAAGAGCGTTTTGCAAAAGAGATTATATTTGATATATTATAAATTATCCATACACTACAATTAGCACCATTGAAAAAATATCTTTTAATTTAAAATTTAATGATATTTAATTTTAATTTTATTCATTAATAAAATGATGACTTATGATGCGCATCCAATAATATTGACTTGAGGGGTGCCGTTAATTTTCCTGTTTTCTTTGTTATCTGCGACACTTGCTCATCTTTATTGTACTGAGGAAAGGATAGATAAGCATCCAATCGATGTTCCCCCTTTTTAGCCTCCGGCTGCATCAACTATTCCTTTTAGCTTTTCGATATAGTATAATTGGCAGCCTGCATCTTGACAAAAGATAGTAATTAATATTAGTCCCCATTGACATACATATCTTGCTTCTTGAAATGCACAATATTGTCCACTTTCGCATCTCCTTTGGAGTTCCATGGACCGTTTAAAAAGAAAATGTCATGGACACCTTGTGCAGAATAGCAGAGCTGTTATTATGTTTTATTAAATGCGTGATTAGCAACGGGAAGACTATTTGGTGAATTGTGATGTCTGAATCAAATTTCATGGCCCACTGCTTATAAGAAAACATATTAAATTACTGTATGATTAGCTACCAAATGGACTCAACAATATTAATTAAAGAATGCTTAGAAGTATCTTGGGCTTCCTGTTGATAACTGGCTAGGGCTTGAGATTTGTGCTCCTTTTTCGATTGGATTAACGTGATCAGCAGAAGCGAAACATGCGGAATCTTTGTTTATATATTTGCTTATGTCACCACTCAGTCCATATGGGTTTGATTGAATATTTCCATTAATGGTTTTGGAATAAGAAATGAAACCCAAAAGATCAAAACCAAGTTAAACTGGTATAATTTACACATTGCTAACTCTAGCTTATTGCTGGAACAGGCATATCCATATATATAATAGCAATATCGTAGGTCAAGATCAAGACACGGGGGCATTGAGATTTATAGAGACCAACACCTGCTATATTTACATTGTTTAAGTCCAGCATATCTAACCGGCTGCTGAGTGAGGATAATCGCTTTTGTTGAGACTGAACAAATTACAGATTTTGCGATTATCATTTCAAAGTTCTCACTGATTATTTTGGTCCTTTTTATCTTCGCCTAGGGTGCACTTTGACCTTAAGAGGGTTAGCCATTTCACAGGAGAGCCTAAGCTTTTCGCTGAGATCAACTGGATTATAATCAGATTGCACCCACTCGAACTCATGCAACAAGAAGCCTACCCAAAAGCTAACAGTGGCTAAACCCAAAGTCTTTCCAGGGCAAGCTCTACGGCCAGACCCGAAAGGCGCCAGCCTGAGGTCAGACCCCAACACAGAGAACTCCACATCAGCACTGTCCTTAGACACGAATCTCTGTGGCATGAACTTAAGTGGGTCCATCCAAACATCTGGGTCCCTGGTGATGGCCCACATGTTAACCATGGCTGTGGTTCCAGCAGGCACGTGATATCCATCAATTGTAGTGTCTGTGATTGCCAAACGGGCCCATGATAGAAGTGGGCCAGGTGGGTGCAGCCTGAGAACCTCCTTCACCACAGCTGGCAGGTAAACCATCGACAGAATGTCAGATTCTATCAACGGCCGTGATTTCCCAATAACTTGATCAAGCTCGGTCTGCACTCGTAATTGGATTTCAGGGTGAAGCACCATTCTCGCTAGTATCCACTCTATTAAAACCGCCACGGTATCGGTTCCTCTAAATATCATCTCCTGTTTAATGAGTGTAGCATGATTAGGAAAAAGCAGTTAAATTTTTAATCAAAGGGAATAATGGTACGTTTGGTTAATGAGACGAAGTCCTTGGAAAAGCTAAGAAAAGCTAAGAAAATGTATAGCATAATAGGAATCTAATCAACGAGCTTATCAAGATTCCATCTTTAATTCTTTTCCCATACTATTTCACAGCTAGAAATCATCATGAAAGGGAACAAAAACATGCATATAAAATAAATTGCTTTCTTTATTAATTATCGTGGCAATAAGTTTGTTGCTTACCCAAAGAACGGCAATCATATCGTTGTCCGAGAGTCTATCAGGGCCATTGAGAGAAAGCAAAACGTCCACAAAATCATGGTTTCTTCTCCCTGTTTGGATTTTATGATCTTGGATGATTCTATTCACAAACTTGTTCACTTTGGGAACAAGTTTTGAGCATCGAAGCCGGATTTTTTGAAGGTCTAATCCAGCAAGCCATGGAAGATGATCAGACCAATTGAGCTTACCTAGTAGGTCGTAACCTTCTTCAACGAGCTGGCCCAGTTCTTTAGTTTCTCTATTTGATGAACCCAGTAGATATTTACTGCCAAACACTGAGCACATCATGTTGTTAAGGGAAGCTTTCTTGAGTATATCGCGTAAAGAGAACTCTCCACTCCGACGTGCTATTATAGACACCATTTGGGAGGCGATATCGAACCTCTGTGCCTCGGTGGAACTAATTTGTTTAGGACAAAAGAGATGCGTTGCAGCAATTCTTCTTAGGGTTCGCCAATAAACCCCATAAGGAGCGAAACCAATCGCTCGGTGAAACATTAAACTATACGCTGATTCTTTCACTGGACGATCAGCAAAAACAGAACTGTTAAGTATCTCTTTGGCTACATCTGGGTTGCATGTAATGATAACTCGTGTACCACCCAAGCTAAAGGCCATAAGCCGCATAGCACCAAAAGACTGGGCTGCAGCGGAAAGCTTGCGGTGCGCGAGGTTAACCATGAGGTTCATGCTTCCAATAACCGGGAATCCTCGTGGCCCTGGGATGATGTTATTGGGTTTTGTGGCTGCTCTCTTGCGCAGCCAATAATAGTTACCCCAGGCAGGGCCTCCAGGGTACGACCAGAAGCAGAGGGAAATGGCCAGCCAAGCCATGCAAAGAAAAAGGAGAAGCAAAATAGAGTTTAGGGAGGAGAAAGTTTTGCATTTGGAAGCAAGAAACAAAACCCAGAAGCAATCCGAGTGCGTTTCCATAGAGAAGGAAAATGGCTGTTGTTTGTTTGTATGAGTAACGGTTTCCGTTTTTGGGTTAAACTATGAAATGGGAGGTTTGCTTATAAAGAGATTTTTTGGGAAAGTAACGGTTAATCCGAGCATTATAAGTTACCAGCATTATAAGGGAAATAAACAAAATTAAAGTTAAAATCGAAAAATCAGTGTGCGCCGCCACTAGCATAATGGAAAGTGAGATTTGAGGATCCCATGCCCCACGCTTATTTCTGCTTGCATGACTCATTTTCTTAGAACAACATAGGCCATATCCATAGCCAAGTAGCAAAATATGTGATATTAGCTGCCATCTTTTTCGATCAATAGCTATCAAATTAATAATATCATAGCCTGCTAGCTAGTACGTGCTATATGCTACATGAGCCAGCCATTGCCAAGTCGGAAAATATGTGATATTAGTCGCCATCTCTTTCGATCAATAGCTATTTAATTAATAATATGATAGCCTCCTAGCTAGTACGTACTACTGCATCTCTCTCAGAATTTCGGCAGCCCGTTACCGGCGGTCCTCAAGCCCTCCACCTCCAGGCTAACTCAATACTATAATTAGCAAGTTTATGAAATCATTAAAAACAACTAGTAGTGGTGTGTTAATTATAGTATTGATTACAAAACAAAGATTCATTTTTTAGGCCGTTTAATTCAAGCTAGTAAACTCAAGTGACATTAAAGAGTGAAAACATAACAATAACATTTCTTCTAACTTAGGGATATTTTAAAAATTTTGTTTTCATGAGAAGTTATTCCTACGGATCGGGATCGTCAGTTTTCAAACCTTGGTTTGGAATTAATTAGTTTTTTTTTTTTTATGTTTTTAATTTCCAACTTGTTAATCATTTCAAACAATCTAATTAATTTTTAACTTGCTTTTCTCGACTTTTAATTAAAATTAAACTTAAAACACAAATCATATACAATGCGATATATTTTGAATTTTTTCTCTTTAAGTAATTAAAAGAGTGATCTTTGAAGAATATTAACATCAAATTTAAATCATATAAAAATTAAATTTGACAGTAAATACATCTATTTCCTATATATTGAAAAATTGAATTTGAAACTTGTTTTGGCGATATATATATATATATATATTTTTTTTTAAAGAACAGGGAAGTTTATGGACACGCACTTGGAAGTGAGAGTGGCCAGAAGATCAATAACCAAAAAGATCGATAGTTATGTGAGGTGGACTTTATATTTCAACAGAAGAAAATTCTTAAGCAGCTGAATAAAAGTAAATTGACGTTAACGCATATCTATAGTGACGATGCTATCGTATCTGTCAAATGAACCGACGAATCTAGCATTGCGTAAACCCTGGCCTCTCTCTCGTGCTCGAGCCTTTGCCGTTGGGACGCGATCCTTAGTTCTGGTGCGTCCGCCTGGGGGGTAACACTAGCGTTAGCCAAGTACAGCAAGTAGCCAAAGCCCACGTGGACCATCCATGGCCGAAGGCCACGTGTTCCATGCTTCTTCATTTTCCTTCCCTTTTTCCCTTTCCGGTTAGTTACACCGAAGCTCGAACTGTTCATGACTCCACGCGTCTAAGGTCCCATGAAAGGGGTTTAGGCTTTCGGACACCAACCCACTGTCTCTCTACCCATTGTTTTGTCTCAATCATATGCCCTTAAGAGTAAGGGACATTGTCGTCGTACTCGAACATAGGACAAGACAGAAATAATAACATAAAGGACCAGTCCCAGTCATTTCTTCCCAGTTGGGTCCTACTTGAAATCAAACTCCCGACAGTTGGTCCTAAAGTTCAAGCTGATTATTGGGATTGTTAACACATTTTTTAAAACAAAATTTGTTTTAGGTTTTTTCTTCTTTAATGATCCGAGACAGACAAAATCTTTGCTTAGGAGAGCCCGTTATCCCCCAATGTTCCTTTTCTTTTTGTTTATGAAATGCTTAAATTTTGGTTACATGTCTATATGTGCTTCTCAAAATCTTTCTCTTAATTGCTCAAGTACAATTTAAATAATTACTCTTTTGATTTCATATTGTTGTTTAGATTCTGATGGGAATCAAATGGAAGGTAATGGGGCTTTAATTGTGATATTGCCAAGGCCAAGTTTTTGTCCGTAGTAAAGGATTGACTTTGTTGAGGAATTTTAGATTTGATGGGAGCAGAATTTAGTTGGACTTGTTAGAAAGAAAAAGATTTAGATTTGTTAGAGTTAGGACTCTAAAGAGTACTCTAATGTTTAAGTTAATAAAGCATTTGATAGAAGAAAAAGAAGCACATTAAGAAGAGGAAAAGAATGATAGAGGGAGAATAGTTTTTCATGCCCATTAATATTCTTATCAATTTTTGTTTTTATATATATTTCATGGATGATGACTTATAGTCTGTACAAATGATGTGTTTATCTTAAAATCACATGTGAAGTCACATTTAAATCATGTATAAAAATTAATAATTATCTAGGAAAGGAAATATATTTACCATTGATCTTAATTCAATGATCTTGATTTCTATCTCAAGAAATATATTTTTATTTGCAATTGCTTTTCTGATTTCTTAATCCAGAAGCACGATATCTTTCCTTTTCTTTTTTCATTAATTAATAAATTAATCTTGTAATCTCCAAAACCATAAGTTTAGAAGTTCCATAGGTGCATAACTAAAGTATTTGGAATATGATGAGTTGAATAATAAATGATGTCATTACAAGTTCTTATCTACGTGTCTTGCACTTAAGCGGTTGATTCCATGGCCAAAGCCAAAGGTGGTTCCTCAAACTTTCATATTTTAGCTAGTAGTGCGCCCAGATTACCCCATCTAGGATTTAGGCTAATTAAACAAGAAAGAAATTGATATTTTACAATGTTTTTTCACCTACAAAACTTCACTTGCAGCGGCAATCAAAAGCTTGAAACTCAGACAGAATCCTAGCCTTCAAAGTGGCAGAACTTGACATGAATATATATTTCCAAATGAGGAAAGGTTCAGAGGTAAATTATGGCTAAAATGTGGAACAAATTAAAAGATGTGACAATCCAATTCTGTGGTGATGGATGGTATGCAGCATAATTGGAATAAGATTAAGTGCTCCATTCAAAAGAATCAATATCAGTAGCAGATGCCAACATAATCACTTCAAATAACCTAATTCTTAAAGTACTGTTGGTTATTATGGAATAATATATATTAGAGGCGAAATAATGAATCTCGAAAGCAAATCTCATATATCAATTGCCACAAACTCTTTTGGCATTTATAAATATGAGAGTAGTGACTTAAAAGAATCAATATATATATATGTTTCTTGTGGTTTGAGGCTTCGATCAACATCCTGGATTCTGTCCGACCTGGTTCAGTGTGTTCTACAGGAACAAGGAACATTTAAATTCACATCATATTCCTTCAAGATCAGAGAAGATTTTGATGCTAAAGGATTTAGGGTTATTGAGTAAAGACATATAGCTTTATAGCCTATAGGAATTAGGATTTTTTTATCACCATTTACATGTTGTAATTAGTTAAGTGATTGAATCAATGTCTTTTTAACTTGGTGGACAATATTTTTCTTTCCCATTCGTGCAACCAAAAGCGCTTGGGGTGATTGGATTCCATTCGAAAACAGAAGAAAAGCAATGGAAGGTTTAAATTAACTCAACCAACTCACCTATGACTTTTTGAATGTTTAGCAGGAAATTATGTTATATCATAGTTCACTGTCCTTTAAGATGCCCTAAGAGCTCTTCCAATTCGCTCAAATTGCTGGTGCATCAACCACATTTTTATTATTCTTTTGACCCAATGATGAGTTACCATGTGCACATGATTGAATTTAATTATAGCTTAATTTAGATAAATTGGTGGCCTTCTAAATTTTGGATTTTTACTGTTCTCTATCTTTGTTGTGTCACAATTAGATATTAATTTGCAAGTGACAATGTTGGATGCCACATGTACGGTGTAAATCTAAATCTAGGACTTTGATTAAAGGTTCAATCATAAAATACAAGCCATAACGCGGTGAGAGAACTCCCTAATGGAGCCTAAGTTGATAATATGTGTGGAAGAAATATGAAAAAGATATCTCTTAATGAAATAACCATGAAGGAAAGGAGGCTTTATTCTTTTCCTGTCAGAAGATTTGATGCCGGATAAAGATTAGTTTAGTGCTTTAATAATGTTCAACTTGAAAGCTTAAAGGATTTCTATCCATAACAGAACATCCATCTCCATGTATAGTTTTCTCAATAATTTGATATATTAAATGGTTAGTGACAAACAAGTTGCTAACGCACATCAGTTTTTTTTTTTTTTTTTTCAGCAAATAAAGGTAGCAAATCACAATTTGAAGGACCATTAAAGTTGCCACAATCTATAATCCTGGGATTTAATGATTATTAAACAAGTTCATTTAGGCGTGATCAAATCAGATTTGGTTCCTGATTAATTAGGATTTGAAATTCGATTGAACTTTGACCGTGGTAAATGGCTTTAACCAAAATGTGAATCAATTTTATTGGGTGAAATGAAAATGTTTTCGTTTAACTTCCCTAGAAAGCATGGTGGGAGTGGATCCGGCTTGTTTCAAAATGTATTCTGCAATCTGCAATCATGGGAAGACTGAGGCTAGGTGACATTTCAGGTGCCGTAGGCGTCTGAGCCATTCAAATTGATTTTTTTTTTCCTTCCTCTTTTCCACCCTAAGATGACTAACACAGCTTCTATGATTCATATATATCGTATACATCTTCTATGAACACAGAATCTAGGATGCTGGCTTCTGCAATTGCTTGATTATCAAGTTTTTTGCAGGTTTTTACCATATTGAATATCCTGATATATATAAGGCTATGACGCATTTCAGATAGTTTAGTAACGATGAGATAGAGGAAAACATCAGCTTCCCTTAATATTGACATCATGCTACTATTTTTTTTCCCTTCTAGTGACACCACAAAGTGATTGGCTAAACTATGCATGAGTACTTGAGCCGCACTGCTTAAGCATCGGGTGTATCCCAAACTCAATACCTGACTAACAACATGGAATTGATTCCATCTGCCAACTAGCCTGGACCTATGGGGCTCCATATGTGCTAGCTATTGCCTCTAACTAAAGGTACAAGGT